CTTTCCCTGTTTTCTGCGCCTTGCTCTGGGCCTCAGCGTCCTCACCAGAGTGTCGGATTCGTTAAAGATAATGGTTCACGTGTATTCAGCTGGTGCTTGCTTAGTGCACACCCAGCCTTTGGCACACTTAGGATCGTGGCCAGAATTCTCAACTCTGCTGTGAGCTGGGTGTTGTCACGTGCCCATCTGCCAGAGGGAGGAACTGAGGCCCAGACAGGGAAGTGAGTGCTTCACGCAGCTGCAGGTGGTGGGGGCTGGTATTTTAAGTGATGTCTGCTGGCTTGCAGCAGAACTTAGGGCTCCTGGGTAGTGAGCACAGTTGCACGTGGGAGGTGAAGAAGGGTGACTTGGGGAGACCCCTCCTTAGTGCCTCGATGTTGGAGTGCCAGGTGCTGGCCTAGCTTTCCCGGCCTCTGGGGATAGGCCTCCTGACTGGGAGGCCTTCTCTGCGGGGGCGGGGTGCTGGGCCAGCTGCTGCAACCCTTCCTCTGCCTGTCCTTCCATCTGCCACCCTTCCAGCCCCTGGTTGCCATGGAACTTTATTAATCAGGCGGGCAGACCCCGGAGACTCTGAAAGACTGGGTGGGCTGGGCCCCTGAGATCTATGGAAGGGCCCTCAAGTTCCTGGAGAGAGAAGAGGTGGGAGGGAGATCCCTGGAAAAAGTCTTCACTTACCCTGAACGTCAAGTAGCTCAAGACCAGTTTAGGCTGGGGGCCTAGAAAAGGCAGCTGAGTCAGTGGAGAGTGGAAGCTTGGAACTTGGATCCAAGCGGGAGGGCGGGCGCAGGGTGTGGGCCACCAGCTTTATTGTGAGGGTGGAGGGGACTGGAGGGGGTTCTCAGCAGGGGGCTTGGAGCAAATGGGAGGGGCAGGGCCCAGAACCCAGGGTAGCTAGCTGTTCAACTGCTGATGGGGTTTTGGGTGGCAGCTGGTCCCTGCGGCATCTTGGGAAGGCCCATAGCCCCCTTGGCCCAGTGCCCAGTGCTGCCTTCCTTCCGGAATCACCAAGATGCTAATAATAATAACAATAGCAACTTCCATTGTTTAAGGATGTTTTGTGTGCCAGGCTCTGTGCTAAGCACTTCACCCACTTAACCCTGTTGGCAACCTGACTTTTTGACCCTTGACCCTTCTTAAGAGATGGGGACGCTGAAGCCCAGAAATGGTGGAACTTTCCTCATTCAGCCAGGGAGTGTTATTTCCTGATTGTTAATGGCCCTTCCTCCCAGTGACAGTCGGCTTGTATTTGGTAGGTCAGCTGGCTTGTCTTCCATGTCCTCCAGGGGCCTGTGCCTGCAGGTTGGAGCTTGGGGCCTGGGCAGACAGTCTGCGTTTGATCAAACATTCCACTCACTCCAGTTGAGTGAGTCCCCACTGCATGCTAGGTGTAGAGATAGTTCAGGGTCCCCTGCCCCCATGGTACTTAAGGGCCAGCAAACATTTTCTGTGGGAGAGGCTGACAACATCCTGGAGCCAAAGGCCGGGAATGCAAATCCAGATTTTGCTCTACTGACTTTGCTCTGGCATTTGGGGGGTGGGGGGGAGGCAGTCCTTGCAATAAGCTACAGGCTTGGCTTCCACCCAGTAAGAACTTGTTGAATGCTTCCTGTGTACAGAACTCCATTCGATTCAGACATTCCTCTTTGCCCCGCCTGCCTACCTCTACCTTGTCAGGTGTGTGTGTGTGTCCTGTAAGGGGAAAGCGGAGACAGGAGAATTACCATAAGTTCAAGACCAGCCAGGGTTACATAGTGGAATCTTGCCTTAAAAGTAAATTACTTTTTAAAAGTAAACTTGCTCTATTATGACAGCTAGAGTTTGGATCCCAGCACCCACATTGGGGTTGTAGATGCCTGTAACTCCAGCTTCGAGGGATTTGACGGTGTCTGCTGCCCATGCCCACATGGTCACATACACTCATACAGACACAAAGTTCTTAAAAAGTGAACTAATTAAATAAAAATATATCAAAATACCAACAGTCTATCCTGGTTTATTGGCATATCTTATAATTCAGGCAGGCAAGAATGAGGATACAGCCCGTACTACAAAGACCCTGTTACAAGACAGTAACAACTAGAAGCTAAATTTTCCCATTATGCACATAATACATGTTTACTATAGGAAGTATGTAGTACCAGACATTAGGTCTGTAAAAAACAGATTTAGAGCAGAAAGTCAGTTGTAGCTCCGGGCTCTTGTTTTAGGGGTGACTTTTTGATTATATGTGTCCCTGGCTGGTCACTGCCTACTTGATGCTGTTGGGGATTGAACCCAGGATTTCGTGCATGCTGAACAAGCACTCTGCCAATCCTCAGGATTTATTTTTAATAGTTCCAAAAGTTGCTGTGAGCCAGGTGTGATGACAGTAGTTACAAAGTAGAGGTGTGAGGATCAGGAGTTTAAGGTTTTCCTCAGCTGCTCCCGTGCTTGAGGCCAGCCTGGGCTATTCGAGAAACTGGTCCGTCTTCAGACAGTGTAGCATTCTCATTGCCCAGAGGAGGCAATAGTCTGCCCTGGCTCTCCCACAGAAGTGGTCCTGTTTCCAAAACACACTGTTAGAAACTGAACTAGAGAACAGCTCCTGTGACCGTATTAGTCTGTCACAGTGGTTACCTTGTGTGTCTGTGAGAGCATTCTGCGTTGGCCTGGGTTGCCTGAGTATTTCACTGAGACTGCTTGCTGTTCCAGGGGCTAAGTAAACAGTTTTTGTGGCTTGTCCTATGGGTGGGTGTTTGAGTCATTCAGCTGTTTTCATTAGTGAATATCTTGACCTATGGCTTTTAGGATCTCATTGCTAGGGTTGACTAGACAGGAGTGACAGAAACCGGCATCTGTCTGAGCCCTTACTTCAAAGTGTGTCTTTAGGGTTCGGTCAACAAGGGCCAGAGTACTAGGGAAAAGGCACTCCCTGCTAGTTTGTACGTAGGGGTGTTACTCTGGGTAGGGCCCTTTCAGCCCATTGGGGTACATATGTTGGATTTCTCCCTCGCTACAGATCCGTCCCAAGGTGGAGACCACCATAGGCTCTGCTATCAGGCAAGAATTTGGTGAGGAAATGTATGAGAAGCAGTTACTACCCTGTTCTGCATAGACAGCATAGACGATGTCTGCCCACATGTGATCCTCTTCCTCAAGCTTCCAGAAGTCCGTGGCAGCATGAGGATGTGGAGTAGAGTCAACACATGTTGACTGACACTTAGGTAGAGATTCACTGGATCCAGTGACACTGTTGCTGGTGTGGAGGGGTAGGCGGGGAAGACTGACTGACACCTCTGCAGCTGTTTGTAATGGATGTAGGAGAAGGCTGGGTCTGAGTCAATACAGAGAGAAGGGTAGCATCTCTCTAAGTGATTGCTAAGGGTCCTGCTGGAGGAGAGGGGCATAGGCTGAGCCTTAGAGGCAGGGGTCGGGAGAAGTCCGTCTCAGCAGTTCACATGAGGAATGCTGTTGGAAGGCTTTACTAAGGCAGAGATGTGGAGGGAGACCAGTGTAGGGACAGCTGGACTGTCCAGTGGGAGGGTGATAATAGCTGTGGGTAGAATTCTTGGCAAATGAATGTGACAGGTGGTGGGCCAGGTTGAAAGCGGGTTTAGTTGAGAAAGGCCTGTGGCTGGTGAGAGGACAGCAAGTCTGGTCCCGTTAGGGTGTCTTGACTATCCGTGGGATTTCAGGGTCCTTTCCATCTCTGCATGTCTAGCCTAAGCTAGAGGGCATGGGAATTAGCCGCTTTTGCTCATTCTACACAGACCTGGGTAGGAACTGTGTCTCTGCCACTTCCTGACTGTGATCTTGAATGTGGGTTGCTTTAATCTGCAAAGTGGAGCCATTGTGTTGCCAGACGAAAGGCACCAGCTGCTACCATGGTTATAGATGGGTAAATGAGTTAAAAACTAGAGAAATGACTTGCTTGCCCAAGGGACCTAGACCCTTCCTTGGTGGCTTATTATGTAGTCTCTGTGGGCCAGGACTTGAGGGAGAGTCAGCTGGAGCTTTTGCCTGGGATGGGACCCTGTTGCAGACAGAAAACTGTCTAGTTGTAATCAGAAGGCAGGACTAAGGCTGCTGGATGGATTTGCTTCTAAGCTTGTGTTGTTCCTCCTCACCTGGAGTTCTCAGCTCTTTGCCAGCAGGGCTTCTCTTTAGGACCACATGAGAGAATGGTGCAGCAGCTCTTCTCCCGCTCCTTGCTTCCTCATAGGAGAAGCTCCAGGGCCTCTGTGACCAGTCTCAGAGGGACACCATCACTTCTGGCTAGTAAGGGGAAGGAAGTTAGCGCTTATCTTTGAAAGAAGTACTAGAAGTAACAAGTCCTGGTGGCATGTGCCTGTAAGCCCAGTATTTGGGAGGTAGAGGCAGGGAGAAAAGGAGTTCAAGGTCATCACTGGCTACATAGTATGTTTGAGGACAAGCTGGGCTGTAGGAACTGAGGAGACTAAACGTAGATTGTGTGTTAGTATGCACAAAACCCTCATTTTAATCTCTAGCATTACTGCCATGATTTGTTCTTTGGTGATGTATTTAAAAAACAACAAAAAAAACCACCTGTTGGACCTAAAACTTGAACTCAGTCTTGCACTTGAATGGTATGTGTGGTAGGATAACCTAATGCTGTGTCCCTTAGGATCTGTCTCTGCTTGTATCCCTAGGCATCCTAATAGATGACTGAGGTGGTCTCACTCCTGGTTACTGGGCATCTTCCTGTGTTTCTGTTACAGGTGAAACGGAGGCTGGATCTGGAAACTGACCATCAGTATCTGGCTGGGAGCAGTGGGCCGTTCCGGGGCAGAGGCCGCCACCCAGGCAAAGGTGCTTGATGACTCTAGCATCTCAGGCCCAGATTTGGGGGTGGGCATGCTTGTAAACTCTGGGGCCCCAGCAGGCAGCTGGAATGGCTGGCTGACATGACTTCCTTGGGCCTTGGAGGTAGGGAGTTCCCCAGCCACAGAGGAATGCTTTGGTTGGCAGACAGCAGTCACAGGGCCTTTCTGCTTGGCCTGACTAAGGGGAAGGAGCCCTCTGCATCCCACTTCATCCTGACACTCTACACTGCTAGGGAGACAGGCCTGTTGGGGGCAGGCTGAGTGTTTGAGGAGCCCTGCCTAGCCTAACCCCTGCCCCCCAGGTGTGAAATCTCCAGGGGAGAAGTCACGATATGAGACATCGTTAAATCTGACCACCAAACGCTTCTTGGAGCTGCTGAGCCGCTCAGCTGATGGGGTTGTTGACCTGAACTGGGCGGCTGAGGTGCTCAAAGTGCAGAAACGGCGCATCTATGACATCACCAATGTCCTTGAGGGCATCCAGCTCATTGCCAAGAAGTCCAAGAATCATATCCAGTGGTTGTAAGTACTGACCAGTCAGGTAGGCTGGTGGTAGCCAGACCAGGCCTGCAGTGGCTTCCTGCCTCTGAGGAGAGGTGTCTTCCCTGGGGTGGTAGAAAGGGAGGGATATACAGATCTTACAGATCCAGCTCCCTATAGCTGTACAAGGTGTCCCATCCAATAAACACATAAACACGCCTGCTGAAGGTTTCCTGTTCCCTCTCCCAGTGTTGCCCATTTTTGGACCACTGTGTAAACACCATTCCAGCTTTGTGCTGTCATCACTGAGGTTGGCCTTACAGATGTTTTAGTTTTGTTAGGATTTCTCTCTTGTACCCCCCTCTCCCCAGGCATCCTGCTGCCCTCTCTGGCACATCTGCCTTCTTGGTTTTTGATAGACCATTCTTCATTCCGTATTACGTTCTCTTCACTTGTCGGTGTGTCTTGGTGACATTGTATGGCAGTGTGTGTTATTGTTTCCTTACCTGGGGACATGTAGGTGTTTGTTGACAGACCAGGCATAAGTCCATGTCAGTCTAACTTGGAGCCTAGCTGGGGAGCAGAGCCAGAGAGGGGAAAGAGCTTGCTCACAGAACAATGGTGCACTGCCTTGAGTGCCATGGCTGATGGATGGAGGGTCTGAGGACTGCTAACTCTTCATGGCTTCCCACAGAGGCAGCCGCACCATGGTGGGGATCAGTAAGCGGCTTGAAGGCTTGACCCGGGACCTACAGCAACTGCAGGAGAGCGAGCAGCACCTGGACCGCCTGATGCACATCTGTACCACACAGCTGCAGCTGCTTTCTGAGGACTCAGACAGCCAGCGATATCCTTGAATTGGCCAGGGAACATGGTGGTACCACACTGAGACTATAGAGCTTATCTAGGGCTCTGGATTCTGAAAGATTCTGGCTTTGGAAGCAAGGCCTGGCTCTGCACTTACTCACCACAGGACACTGAACAAGTTACTTGGCTTTTGTTTGTTGTTTGATTTTCAAGACAGTTCCTCTGTGGAATAGTCCTGGCTGTCTTGGAACTTACTCTGTAGACCAGGCTGGCCTGGAACTCACAGAGATCCTCCTGCCTCTGTCTTCCAAGTGCTGGGATTAAAGATGTGTGCCACCACTGCCTCGATAAGTTACTTGGCTTTTATGGGCCTAAGTTTCATCTATAAAAGAGAATAGTAATACCATTTCCAAAATTGTACATATTAAAAAAAGAAAACAACTGGGTGATGTGGCACACACCTTTAACCCCAGCACTCGGGAGGCAGAGGCAGGAGGATCTCTGTGAGTTCCAGGACAGCCTGTTCTACAGAGCAAGTTCCAGGACAGCCAGGGCTACACAAAAAAACCCCTCTTGTAAAAAAAAAAAAAAAAAAAAAAAAAAAAAGAAGAGAAAAAGTGCCAACCCAATGGCTTGATGAGTAAAGGTGCTTTTGGCCAATCTTAGCCATCTAAGTTTGAGTCCCTGGTGGAAGGGGGTAACTGACTCCTAGTTGTTCTCTGACCTGCATGTGTGTGTGTGTGCACACACCCCTGTGGCATGTATATGCATGTACACAAAGACACACAAAGTAAGTATTAAGTTTTAGTAAATTTTAAAAGAAGCCTAGGACTGGAGAGTTGGCTCAGCAGTTAAGAGCACTTGTTGCTCTTGCAGAGAACCCAAGTTCAATTCCTTGCATCCATATGGTGGTGGCTCACAGCTCTCTGTAAGTCTAGTCCTAATGCATCTGATGCCCTCTTCTGACCTCTGAAGGTAACAGGTACAAACGAGATGCACATACATGTCAGGAAAACACTCATGCAGAATACATGTCAAGGAAAATACTTACACGCACTAAAGTCCCGGCTTGGTGTGTGTACAGCCTTCAAAATCCCAGCACTTGGGAGGCAGAGGCAAGAAGATCTCTGAACTCAGGCCAACCGTGTCTACATATTTCCAGACTAGCCAAGGATACTCAATGAGACCCTCTCTCAATAAAACAAAGAAGAAAAGCCCAGTAAGGTGGTGTGTGCTTGAAATCCCAGGACCAGGTATGAGGCAGACACTGCCACATAATCAGGGCCAATCAAGACTATGTAGTGAGGCTGTCTAAATACAAATAATCACAGGCCACTGGACTACACAGTGTGACCCTGTCATCCAAGAGAAAAGCTATTACCAGTGATGACAAACCTTTCCTTAGTCATTGATTTAGTGCCTGATTGTAGCTTGAAAGTTAAAAGAAACTTCATTAGAATATGTCTTTTTAGTGAATACCATTAAGAGTAAAATTGTCAAAAGTAATTTCCATCTCCCAGCCTGGAGATCTGTTGAGCATTTTATGTGGAGTTATTTACAGGTAGCCATTAGTTTGGAATTGGATAGGTAGATAGCCCACTGTACAGATGTGGCAGTTGAAGCTTGGGAATGAGACTCTGAGTACTGACTTTGTGCCAGGCCTTGGGATGAAGGAGTAAAAACAGGAGTGACTAGGTAGGTGTGGGTCCTGTTATGTGGGCTGAGTCAGGGGCTCCTCAAAGGTCAAATGGTCCTTGACTCCCCCAACCCTGGCCTATGTGACCTGCCAGGACCTTCGTAGCATAGCGGACCCTGCAGAACAGATGGTCATAGTGATCAAGGCCCCTCCTGAGACCCAACTACAAGCTGTGGACTCTGCGGAGGTGAGACTCGAGACCCCAGGCCTGACCAAGACAGGGTGGGCTGGGCTGATGGTCACCTGGGCCTAAGTTTACCCTGCCTGATGCCTCCACCCAGACATTTCAGATCTCTCTTAAGAGCAAACAAGGCCCCATCGATGTTTTCCTGTGTCCTGAGGAGAGTGCAGGGGGGATCAGCCCTGGGAGGACCCCATCCCAGGAGACATCCTCTGGGGAAGACAGGACCACTGACCCTGGCACTGCAGGGCCTCCACCACCACCTCCCTCCACATCCCCAACCTTGGATCCCAGCCAGTCCCTGCTAGGCCTGGAGCAAGGTAGGTAGGGGTAGGTTTTGTTTGCTTATTGGGGCAGGCAGTCATGGCAGCCCCATTCCTGCTGGGCCTTCTCTAACCTGTAATGCATGCTTTCCCCAGAACCAGTATTGTCACGGATGGGCCACCTGAGGGCCCCCATGGAAGAAGACCATCTGTCACCGCTGGTGGCTGCCGACTCACTCCTGGAGCATGTTCGAGAAGACTTCTCGGGGCTCCTCCCTGGGGAGTTCATCAGCCTTTCCCCGCCCCAAGAGGCCCTTGACTACCACTTTGGCCTTGAGGAGGGTGAAGGCATCAGAGATCTCTTTGACTGTGACTTTGGGGACCTGACCCCTCTGGATTTCTGACAGAAGTCTAGGGAGCCAGGGTGTCTGGAGATGCCCACCCTGTCTGCAGCTTTGGAGCCTCCTGCCCTGGGCCATCCTTCCTGCCTCATTGGAAAAGCACGACTTATACTCTCTTCTCTGTGCAGTGGCTTCTGGGTCTGGGGTTTGGCTGCTGCCAGATTGAGCAGAGCAAAAGGGGAAGGATTTTGTGTGGGGTCTGTGTGTGTGTGCGCGCGCATGCGCAAATGTGCACCCCATACTGCGCACTGTGTAGTTGGGATGTATTCTGTGTGTGTGTGTGTGTGTGTGTGTGTGTGTGTGTGTGTGTGTGTTGTGTACCGGGGAATGAAGGTGAACACATCTGTATGTGTGCTGCAGACACATCCTGCTGTGTCCACATGTGTGCATGAATTCATGTGTGCGCATTGGGGTGGGGGTGGGGCTCTAACTGCACTTTTGGTGTCCTTGCTGCAGAGGCCTTGTGAGGCCCAGGGTGGCTGCCTGCTCCCAGAATCCTGTGTGTCAGCCTGGCCAGGTGGGGTAGCTTGGCTGGCTGCATTTGCAGGGCAGCAATAGCACTGCTTAAAGGTTTCCCGATCGAAGCTTTAATGGAGCGTTTATTTATTTATCGAGGCCTCTGGCCAGCCTGGGGAATAAGCTAAGGGTTGGAGTGAGATTGGGCTAATACCCCAACTTCCTATACTCTGAGCAAGGGCAGGGTCCCCTAGCTGTTTTGTTTTTTTTTTTTTTTTTCCAACCCCAAAGGAGCTGAGGCCCCTGCAGTTTATTTATTGGGAAAGTGGGAGGTGGGAAACAGACTGACAGCCACGGATGGGTTGGAGAAATGGTCCCCTTGTAGAAGGTTGTGCCAGCACCCTAGCTGCACCCAGGTGGATTTGAGATGGGAGAAGTGAGTGAGGACCTTCACTGACAGGGTGGACAAGGAGGAGGGGTGGGTCCCTCCTGTAGTTGGAGTGCTCCTCCATTGTCTTCTCCACCCTCCAGCCTGCACTTTGTTTCTTAACAGTTCTGTTCCCTCCTGCTTTGGTTTTAATAAATATTTTGATGGTGTTAGGGCTGGGTTTGGGACTCTATGCCAATGTGAGGCTAGGGTCAGAGGGAATATTCATTCCCTTTTCCTATCTGATTTAATTTCCTTTCTATGATGTAACCATTTGAGAGGAAGAAAATGACCCAGTGACTGGTAGGAAGTCATGCATATTACCTAAGTGCAGAAAAGGGAGTGTTAGAGTTGGCTTGCTGTGCACCTTCCGGACATTTCTGAGCATTAGTAAAGATGCAACACACAGTCAACTGTGTTTGTGTCCGATGCTTTTGTGTGTGTTTGTATGTGTCCTGTACTTGCAGCATGTGTTCCTCCCTTTAACCCTGCCTTGCAAGTGAGAAAACAAGGTTCCTGAAAGAGGTGGGCTGAGATCTGGGAGAAGGGGGTTATGACTGGAAAGTCATGACATGCGTTAACAAACCCTCAATGGGAGTCCTTTGAGCTGAACATCTGCAATCCCTTTGACAATCTGGGGGGGGGGCACCCATTATCCTCCACAGATGACCAGAGGTGAAGAGCTTGTGAGTTTGACCAGTTAATGGCTTCTGCATCTAAAGCTTTGTCCACACCAGACTGTGGAGCACCTGGTCCTGTAGAACTGGCAGGCTGTCATTGCCAGTGGCCCCTGGGATGGTTCCTTATCCCACCCCTTTTGGAAGCCTCTTCCAGGCAGGGAAACCGAGGCCAGATGGGGGCGGGGCCACGCTTGGACCAATGGGCACGCGCCCCGCCCCCAGCCAGCATAGGCGGCCTGGGAACTGCAACCCGCAGCCTTACGAGCTTCTTCTGAGCCATGGCGTGCGCTGGGTTGCTCGCTGTGTGCTTGCTTGGGCCACCCGCGCCTCAGCCTCCGCGACACCCCACGCCTGCTGCGGGACACGCGCTTTTCCAGGATGTGAGTAGGGCACCGGTGGGTGGGCGCAGGGCTCCCCAGGTCTCGGTCCTCTGTGTCTCCATCTCTCCCTCCTCATTTGTTGGTTCTGCTTCAGTCCCTCTCCCGGATTATCCGTGACCCTGCTGTTCTCATCCCCCTGCCTTTGTGTTCCTTATACTGTCTGTGCCGTTGTGCCGCTCCGTGTCTCCTTGTCTCTGCAATAATAGTGTTACCGTCCTCCACCCCAAATTTGGCCAGTGGGGCTTAGGGGCTGTCAACACTCAGTCACAGCAGCCATCACCGACCTGCTTGCTCCATTGCAGCCCCTGCTGGGCTGATGGGACATGGGAGCTTGGACCTAGAAGGAGCTCTGTCCTGCCCCAGAAGCCTCAGGCCTGATCCAAGGGTGGCAGAGTTCTACAGTTGGTAAAGGACGCCTCTCATTAGCAGCAGGTGGCATTGAAGCCCCCTTGTGTGGCTATAGAGCATCCTGACCTGCCTCAGCCACTGCCCTGAGCCCCCCGCCCCTCCCTTTTTTTAAACCTTTCAATAATGTGCCCAGCTGGTCCTGGCACTCTCCTGCCCATACTCCAGCGGGACTTGCCAGTGGGGGAGGCTGTCATGCCCCTTCCTCAATGTCCTAGTGACTCAGCATCTTGACCATGGTCCTTCAGGTCAGAGGAGACATGTTCCAGGTCACAGACGGAATCAGGGGCACACAACGATGTGGATGAAAGTGCCTTCATTCCAAGCTTAGCTCTTCTGTCTCACCCGCCCTCCCCATTACCCCAGCCAGGCCACACTGAGCTGCTGCGTGATCCCAGTCTAGTAGCAGGCCTTCTCTGAGTCAGCCTATGGGTTAGGGTTACTTTAGTTGTTTAGACCAGTGACCCTGAGGGACTTGGGTGGAAGAGTTTAGCATTCAGGACCCTGGCCTATGGGGGTTCTGTCCAGACCTTGAACCTGATGCTCTTTGTTCAGCTGCTTTGGAAGACTAGTTCCTAGGAGGGCAGCACTTAAGGAAGCTGCTGTGTCTGCTTCATCCCTGCCTCTACAAATAAAATCTGCTGACCCTTGCCATCCTCCTTGCCCCTCACACAAACGTGTATGCACAGATGACCAGTCTTTACAATGAGATGGCCTCTTCCCCAGCCCTGAGAGGGTTAAACTCAGGCTACTCCCTCACTACTACTGGGAAAACCAAAGCACCCACAGAGGGCTAGCCACTGCCTGCCAGTCTTCAACAGGCACAAGGGAAGCTCCTGTTCAGTGAGGGTGGATGGAAAACGGGGTGCACTATAGGACAACACACAGAGGAGTAGGGGTTCCGGTCTGATGAGGTTTCCACAGCTCCTCAGGATGGATCTTGGCCCATCTGTCCAAGCTTCCTCAAGCTGGGACCATGCCAAAGGCTGTTACAGCAGAGTGAACTCAGGCTGGGGGAGGTGAAGGTACAGAGAGCTGGCCAGGAGCACCTACCCACTGTGAAGCCACCCTGCAGCAGGAGAGAGTCAGCGTTAGGACTTGCTGTGAAATCTTCCTGTACTTCCTTGCTGGAGACTCCTGCAGGACTGCCCTGAGCAGGAGGAAGTCAATGCAGAGGACCTGGCTGGCCAGCTGGGGCCTCACTGGCTTGGGAGGGGGACTTCTACCTCTCAGGCTCCACTCACAGCACCCACTCATTTCCCTTTGTCCCTTAGGTTTTCCGAAGAGCAGACAAGAACGGTGAGTGTGGCTTCTTCCCCTTGGTCCCACAGTGTGTGTATTGGGGGGGGGGATGAGGCAGGGTAAGAGAACTAGGGACTTCGAGGTACAGCCTAGAGTGATGTCTTTGAGAGGTCAAGCAAGGGATACTGCCTAGAGAACAGATGGTGTGCAGGTAAATGGGGTTGACCCGAGCCTGGGGGTGGGGGCTTGTGTTAAGTGGCACGTAGCTCAGTGATGGGTGCTTGTACAAGACCTTGTGATGTCCTTACAACAGCTTTCTAGGTGGGAATTCCTCATTGCATTTCATGGACAAGGAATAGAGGCTCAGGGAAGTACACCAGTTGTCTAAGCCTTTAATTAGTGTGTCTGGGATGCAGACCCTGGACTAGGTGGTGAGGCACCCATTCAACCTCCACTTCTATTCTCCCTGGGCCTGCGGATTCGTGTGTTTCAGCCTCCTTGTGTCCCCAAGTACTTGTCCTTTTGTGGGCCTCTTCAGACTGGTGGGGACCATTGATTTAAGACATCCTGTGGCAGAGGCTCAGGCTCTCCCCACCTTTGCTCATCACCCAGACTGAATCCCATCATCTTTAACCATCCTGCACCTCTGTTCTCTGCCTCTTTTGACATGTCCCCAGTCTGCTGCATGGTAGAGTCAAACTGTTAGAAGGCTTCACCTGCTTCTGTGACCCCGAGGAAAGGCTATTTTATGTGGCCAGGGACTGTGCTTCTAAGTCCCAAGCCATGCTCTGGTGTGTCCAAGGCTGGTCGCTTGTATTTCTTGTACAAGGTGGGCCCTGTTTCCTTCAGCATACACTTTTGGGGACTTTTGTCCAAAATAGTCAGGGCCACCACTAAAGTCAGAACCCTAGGCTATCTCACTGAGTGATTGAGAATGCTATCAGGCCTTTGGGGAGCCTAGATCTGGGGGCAGGACGCAGCCAGGACTCAAGGATACCAACTCCACGCCCTGTCTCTCCCCAGATGATGGTAAGCTCTCATTTGAAGAATTCCAGAATTACTTTGCTGATGGGGTTCTCAGCTCAGCGGAGCTGCGGGAACTGTTCAGCAACATCGATGGACATCTCACCGAGTGAGTACAATAGAAGCAGTGACTTGCTGTGGCAGTGCCTGGCTAGATTGTTCCAACCCACTGTGTCCCCTGCTGTCATGGCTCTTTCTGGAGGCCAGGAAGGTTGGGGGAAAAGACGCCAGGGCCCAATGCCAACTTTATCCACCCACCTACACCTTCTTCAGCTCCAGCCTTGTTGCTACACTGCTTCCAGCTGGGACCCCAGAATAACCAGGCTTGAGTCACCACCCGTGCTCAACCCTTCCATTCCCATGCAGAGGATGTCTGAGGACAGCTGGGCTCTGCTGCCTCCGCCTGTGGATGTAGGTGCAGGAATACACATCTTCCCACGTGCCCACATATACACATCTGATTCAAGTGGATACTCCTTCCCTGCTTCTCTGCTTGGGGACACACGCCAGGAACATGCACAGCTGCCCTTCCCCTCTCCTCCCCCTCCCCCTTAGTATACAGCTGAGACTTTGTCAGCATTCAAGGCTTCAAAGGCTTGGGCTGACCCTTTGAAGTGCCTATGCCCCTTCCTCCACCAAATAGATAACCATGTCAGGCTGAATAAAAGGATGGGGCCACCGGCTTCTATGTTCAGTTCTTCAGGCCCAGGTTCTAAGAGTCTGAAGGATGTTTTCTCTTTCCCTCACAGCAATTTAGAAACAGAGAAACTGTGTGGTGAGTAGGCCTGTGCTGGCCCTTGTGTCCCAGCCCCTGGGCAGGTGGGTGTGGTAAGGGGTGCTTTATGGGCTAGTCTTACGGGGTAGGAAGGCTGGGGCAGCTGGCGAATTCCAGGCTGGAGAGACGGTGTGGGCTGGAGCCCCTGAGCACCTGTTCTGCCCACAGACTATTTCTCCAAACACCTGGGTGTCTATCGGCCTGTGCTGGCTGCACTGGAGTCACTGAACCGTGCGGTGCTCACCGCCATGGACACTACAAAGCTGGTAAGTGCAGGGAAGGGCTTATAGGGAACCTGAAAAGATGGCTTGGTGCTGTGGCACTCTTGCCTACTATGGCTCTGGCTGTTGAAATGGAACTTGGGTTCAGATTCGGATATTCCCACTTAATGACTGCCCTTTACTCCCTGGTCCGGTTTCCTCATCTATAAGCCAGAGGTGACAATGAACAATGAAGTGGGTTATGGTGGCTCACACTGTAATCTTCAATACTCAGGAGATAGAGGCAGGAAGATTCGCTGCCAGTTTCAGGCTAGCCTGGCTAGAGTGAGACCCTGCTGAGAGAGGAGAGGCAGAGATCTAGTGTTTTGTTCTTTGCTATATTCCCAGTACCCAAAACAATTCAGGCAACATAGTAGGTTTTTGTTGGCCTGATGTAATTGCTGAGGGTTGTCAAGCCAGGACCTAGCAGGCATGGGCTAGGACATAGGAGATGAGGTCATGCATGTCCACAGGTGCATGGAGCCTATGAGGCAGAGCCTGACCTCAGGACACGTGATAAGGCAGGTGTGTGTGTGTGTGTGTGTGTGTGTGTGTGTGTGTGTGTGTGTCTGCCTGCATGTCTGTTGGCCTATATTACAACATGTATAGACAAGGGTTGACAGTCAGAGCTCCAGACCCTTAGTGACCAAAACAAAACACAACAAAACAAAATACCCTCCCTTTATGTATTAAGAACCATCTGCCAAGACTATGTGGTAGCTTACATGTTTTTCTTTTTGGAGACAGTTTCTTTGTGTAGCCCTGGCCGTCCTGGAACTCACTCTGTAGACCAGGCTGGTCTTGAACTCACAGAGATCCGCCTGCCTCCGCTTCCCGAGTGCTGGGATTAAAAGCATGTACCACCACACTGCCCAGAGGTAGTTCACACTTTTAACCCCAGCATTTGGAAGAGTCAGGACAGCTTGAGACAGAAGCCAGCCTGGGCATATAGTTGAGATCCCGTCTCCAAAAATAGAGGGAAAAGGTCCCTCTCCCCATGTCCATGGATCTTCTGGGGGTGGGGTGAGCAGGTCTGAGGCTTTACCTGATCATACATTTTGGTACTTGATAGGCCCCAAGGCCTTGCACTGCACAGCTAGTCACTGCCCTTTGATCTCACTTTCTACACGAAAGGGAAAATTGAGAACGTCAAGGATCACCTGAGCACACAGCCTAGGCGTCCGGGGCTTCTAGTTCGCTCGTGTAAGAGTTATTTTTTCAAGTGTTGTTCTTTGAGCCTGGCCCTGCTGGACTGACATTCTCTGAACTGGTGGTGGTTTGGGTATTCAAATGAAAGCAAAATGAGGGTCAGGGTTAGCCCAGAAAGGAAAAAGGGCAGCCCATCCACATATAACCCTGCCAGCTCCAAACACTTCAATCTGTTTATCTGGTTCTCGGTGCTAGGGCAGAGTTGCAGCCTCTGTTCCTGCAGTACCCCTGGTGGCACCCATTCTACTTCAATATAAAACTCAATCGAACACTTTTCGCACCAGAAAAGGACCATACTCCTCGTACATGGCCCGAGTCATCCAGCGGCACTGAAAGGACTGCAAGGAGGCCATCATGGAACCTCCAGTCCACACAGCTGTGCCCCGCCCAGGTTGAGCCACCAGGCAGAGCTTTAGGGCCGGGTGCCCAAGCCTCTGGCACAGTGCCTCTAGCTCCAGGTTCATGCGCTCCACAAAGCCGGGGAAAAGGGTGGAACCACCAGCCAGCACCACCGTATTGGCCAGCCGTGCCCGCAGCTTTATGGGTATCTTCTGCAGTGCCTGGAAGGCCAATGTGGGCAGTCCTGGCTCAGGATGGTCTAGGAGACTTGGCTGGAAGAGAGGTTCAGGGCAGCGAAAGCGCTCGCTGCCAAGGTGCACGCAGCAGCCATTGCTCAGGCAAAAACAGGCCCTCCGGTGGCGGGCAGGGTTACAGATATCGCCCTGGAAATCTAGGGACACATAGCAGCAGCGCTTCTTGAGATGTGTAACGGTCTTGCGGGGCAGAGCCTGCGGCTGAAGATCAGGGCTTGTTGCCATCAGTAGGTCTCGAAAGTAGCGCGACAGACTGCTGCCTGCCACGTTCAGACGGAAGGTGGCCTTCTGCCACGAGTGACCTGCGTAGATGGGTGTGGCGTGGCACACGCCCGCGCCGGCCTCCACAGCCAGCCCACTGAATGCTCCAGTGGAGCAGAGTGCCAGCAGAGCCGTGCTGGCCATGTGGCACGCGGGCACTGTCAGGGCCTCGAACAGCAGCTCGGCCGCCTTCTCTCGGCCCTCCGGTGGTGCTGATGGTGAGTCGCTCACTAGCACAGGCCACTGCTCTGGGTGGACCTGCAGGCCTCCCACCATTAGGCGTTCCCACAGTCCTTCCATTGCGTCCCAGTCCACCACCACACCATGCTTGATGGGGTGCGCACGCGCCACGCCGCCCGCCAGCTCGCAACCTGGTGCTTCGGGCAGCACAGGCCGGTCCCAACTTGGCATCAGACTCGAGCTCTTCAGCATAATGCGCGGCTGGATCTCCCCAGCGAAGCCAGCCTTGGTGAAGCCGGAGCCTTGGTCTACCACCACCGCAACGTGGTCCAATGACGGCAGCCTGCGGACATGCCGGGTCCTGTGCACCGACGCCACCTTCTGGGCTCAGTGTGCCCCGAAGCCCTGTGGGCCTTCTGGGCAGATAACCAGCTCTCAGTTCTCAGCCCCGCCTCTGACTACGAGGCCCCGCCTATTAGGGGGAGCGGTTCTTTTTTGTGGCTCCACCCCAAAGAGGGGATGTGGCCCTGTTAGTCAGTACTTAATTCCTCCTTAGGGTTCCAGAGTCCGGGACTCCTAGGAAGTCTCTTGGCACGTCACCTAGCTTGGCTAGAGAGTTACCTGGCTGTGGAGGTGGAAGAAATGGTTCGAAAAGAAAGGAACTTAGATTGGGCTCATTATGACCTCAGTCTTGCAGTGCTCCACCCCCCTCCTCCCGCACCAGGCTGATGACAGCCATTTGGGAGCCCATAATAGAGGCCTGGTAGACCAGCACAGCCAGCTAATTCTTTCTCCCAAATTCTTGGAGTATCTGTGTACTCCAGACATATGCGCTATCCCTTCTAAATCAGTTCTAAAGATAGACGTTTCAACCACACATCTACAGCTACAATGAGGACTTCTTGTGCTTAGCCGACAGCCACACAGGGGGTCTGGCCTGACCCCTGCAGTTCTGAAGCTTAGGTATCAACCTAAGCAAGTCCAAATCTATCTTTCTGGTGTTTCTTCCTCCAAAAGATAGCAATGAGCCTCACCTCCCGGACAGACTATTCTCTTTAGGACCACATTGGTTGCAAATAGAAGACTCAGATGCATTTAGACTAAAATAAGGATTACACGGATACTGGATATTTTCTGGATCACAAGGACGAAATAGGACTTAGGAACAGAATTCGACCACAGGGCTGTGGTTAACTGGGAAGGTCTCTTAAAGTTCCCAATTATGGTCCCGGGGAAGGGGATGATAGAGCCAGTGTAGGCCAAGTGTGCACTTACTGAGAGAACCACGTGACAGCAATTAGCTCTCAAGTAAATACCTATGCTGTGCATGGGTCACACATTTTCCAGCATGATTCAAGCCTGTGGACAGTGACAAAATGTATCCTTAAGTCCATGGCTTATGGCTCTAGTGAGCTGAGACCTTCATCCTGCTACCACTGGCCCCAGGGGAAGCATTTTGAGTTGGTCATCAGTGTGCAGTAGGAAAGGCAGAATATTTTGTTTTCTGAAGCAATCTGTTGCACTGAACTCAAGATCCTCCTACCCCATCCTTTTGAGTGGTGGTATTATCTCAGCCGGCTACAACTGGAGACGGTAGCTTTAGGTCTGGAAGCCGTGTGTGGGATCCAAGAAAGCCAGCAGTGGGCTTCTGCCCAGAGCATGTTGCTTCTCTCAGGAGTGATGCAAGGAGTAAGACTGACATTGAAGGCCACTGGTGCCATGTCAGTGTGGAAGAGCAGGGAGCAAGCACTGAGAGGTACTGAGGGAAGACAGGCTGGGGAGCTGGGACTGCACATCCCAATTTTAGCCTTGGGCTTGGGGGGTAGTGGAGAAGCAGTGGGGGCTATGATCAGGGGGAATGAACTGCTCTAGACAGATTAGGGTTTTGGAAGAAGCTTCTGGCTACATGTGGGGTAGAGGATGGAACTGGGTAGGTACCTCAGGAGGAAAGTGCTTTGACTAAGGGACCTTAACATTTGGGGAGTTGAATATTTGGGAGTTACTGAGCACTGCCGGGCACGAGTTAGAGACCAGAGGCTCAAGCCCCTCTTCTTGAGTGTGTTACCACAGGCAGAATCTTAGGTTCCGCACCACCATGGCTGACTCTTCTTCCTGGTATGGTATCTGTTAGCAGCCTGGGACCCTCCCTCCGCCTAAGAGGGATTTTTGAACGTTGAGGACTCTGGAGACCTCAAGCCAAGTATAGATTGCTCAAGCCCACCACCTTAAATCTGTGGTTCTGGCATGAGCTGGCCTTTGTGCCACAAAGATAAGATAAAAGCAGCCCTAGCTCCAGGTTGTGGAGTACCCTTCATTCCTACTCACCCGGGGGCCTCAGCTTTGAACCTGGATCCGATGGCCGGGACAAAGGTGGCAGACGACCAGGTTGCTATGTGCTCTTTATTGAGCAGAGCCCTAGCGCTGGGGACCGCACCAGGCACTCAGGGCCGCGGACGAGGGCAGCGGCGCCGCTTGCGTGGCTGCTCCTCGCGGGGGTCGCTTTCACCGCAGGCCTCACGATGGGTCAGCAGATGCGCATACAGCGG